CTGCTCCCTGTATCCCATAAGACGTGTCCATAGTTGGTTAATGTGTGCATTCAAAGGGTTAAAGCTCTGCTCCCTGTATCCCATAAGACGTGTCCATAGTTGGTTAATGTGTGCATTCAAAGGGTTAAAGCTCTGCTCCCTGTATCCCATAAGACGTGTCCATAGTTGGTTAATGTGTGCATTCAAAGGGTTAAAGCTCTGCTCCCTGTATCCCATAAGACGTGTCCATAGTTGGTTAATGTGTGCATTCAAAGGGTTAAAGCTCTGCTCCCTGTATCCCATAAGACGTGTCCATCGTTGGTTAATGTGTGCATTCAAAGGGTTAAAGCTCTGCTCCCTGTATCCCATAAGACGTGTCCATCGTTGGTTAATGTGTGCATTCAAAGGGTTAAAGCTCTGCGTTAATAAAACACTGATGACAGAAACCTCTCGGAGCTTAAAACCTTTCTCACAAAGTGCCATTAGTATCAAGGGAGGAGGCAGTCCCTTCAGCTCTGATAGAAAACATTTAATTAAATAACAGCTATTAATAGATAAGTATTTGAAAGAAACACATTTTATCTTAGAGTTTAAGGCGATACAAAACTAACCATGGATGAATCCTAAAAAAGTCAAATATGAAATAGACAGAAGTGGAAGAAGTACTCGGATCTAGTACTTGAGTAAAAGAAGAAGTACTCTGATCTTGTTCTTGAGTAAAAGAAGAAGTACTCTGATCTTGTACTTGAGTAAAAGTAGAAGTACTCAGATCTTGAGTAAAAGTAGAAGTACTCAGATCTTGTACTTGAGTAAAAGTAGAAGTACTCAGATCTTGTACTTTAGTAAAAGTAGAAGTACTCAGATCTTGTACTTGAGTAAAAGTAGAAGTACTCAGATCTTGTACTTGAGTAAAAGTAGAAGTACTCAGATCTTGTACTTGAGTAAAAGTAGAAGTACTCAGATCTAGTACTTAGTTACTTCGCACCTCTGGAAATAGAGTTTAATTCTTTGTGTATGGATTCCTTTGCTTTTACTGACTACAATGCCGGCTTACCTTTATGGTTATCAGTAGGTTCACGGATGCAAGGCACCCAATTTTTTATATATATATATATATATATATATATATATATATATATATATATATATATGTATATATATATATTACTTTTTATATAGACTTAAACATTTAGCACGGACGTCAGGACTGGCGGTAATTTCGTGTGAGTGCAGTGAATGGGTCAGATTTCATTTAACGTGCTCACTAGCGCCACCTATGAAGATACCATTTTTGAACAAAAAACAAACGTGTCGTGCACCACAAGTCTAATCGTTATAAGTTCTGCCCACTTCGATTGTTTTGCTAATTAGCATGCTGTGTTATCGAATATGTGGCTCCAGACATTTTAGAGTTTTGTGGCAAAAGGGTGAAAAAGGGCTCTTTTGGTAGCTGTGGTGAGACATTCACATAGTTTGGGTTTAATTCACCAGGGTTTGAGATCGCATCTGCATTCACACCAATGCTATGAATGTGAAGGGTTTATAGTGATTCAAAGAAATAATGCCGTATACTTGAAACTGTGACTCACTCGTAATAAATGCCCCACAATGCTTCAGGGGAACTTTACTGTCCCTTCTTTTTAAAAATAGGAACAATGCATCCCAGCTCTAAGCCCTGCCAAGTATCTGCTCTATGTTTGGTGTCGGGGGTCTGAAGGTAGATTATGTCAGCGGTGGAGAATGGTGTCACCTGTCAGCGGGATTACCCCCCCCCACTCGATGATAAATGATCGAGGTCAAAACATTTAACAGTTGTTGCCGGAGGAAAACTCAACCATGTGGATGAATACAAACTGCAATAGGGCTGCACCATGTGGATGAATACAAACTGCAATAGGGCTGCACCATGTGGATGAATACAAACTGCAATAGGGCTGCACCATGTGGATGAATACAAACTGCAATAGGGCTGCACCATGTGGATGAATACAAACTGCAATAGGGCTGCACCATGTGGATGAACACAAACTGCAATAGGGCTGCACCATGTGGATGAATACAAACTGCAATAGGGCTGCACCATGTGGATGAATACAAACTGCAATAGGGCTGCACCATGTGGATGAACACAAACTGCAATAGGGCTGCACCATGTGGATGAATACAAACTGCAATAGGGCTGCACCATGTGGATGAATACAAACTGCAATAGGGCTGCACCATGTGGATGAACACAAACTGCAATAGGGCTGCACCATGTGGATGAATACAAACTGCAATAGGGCTGCACCATGTGGATGAATACAAACTGCAATAGGGCTGCACCATGTGGATGAATACAAACTGCAATAGGGCTGCACCATGTGGATGAATACAAACTGCAATAGGGCTGCACCATGTGGATGAATACAAACTGCAATAGGGCTGCACCATGTGGATGAATACAAACTGCAATAGGGCTGCACCATGTGGATGAACACAAACTGCAATAGGGCTGCACCATGTGGATGAATACAAACTGCAATAGGGCTGCACCATGTGGATGAACACAAACTGCACTAGGGCTGCACCATGTGGATGAACACAAACTGCAATAGGGCTGCACCATGTGGATGAATACAAACTGCAATAGGGCTGCACCATGTGGATGAACACAAACTGCAATAGGGCTGCACCATGTGGATGAATACAAACTGCACTAGGGCTGCACCATGTGGATGAACACAAACTGCACTAGGGCTGCACCATGTGGATGAACACAAACTGCAATAGGGCTGCACCATGTGGATGAATACAAACTGCAATAGGGCTGCACCATGTGGATGAATACAAACTGCACTAGGGCTGCACCATGTGGATGAACACAAACTGCAATAGGGCTGCACCATGTGGATGAACACAAACTGCAATAGGGCTGCACCATGTGGATGAATACAAACTGCAATAGGGCTGCACCATGTGGATGAATACAAACTGCAATAGGGCTGCACCATGTGGATGAACACAAACTGCAATAGGGCTGCACCATGTGGATGAATACAAACTGCAATAGGGCTGCACCATGTGGATGAACACAAACTGCAATAGGGCTGCACCATGTGGATGAACACAAACTGCAATAGGGCTGCACCATGTGGATGAACACAAACTGCAATAGGGCTGCACCATGTGGATGAACACAAACTGCAATAGGGCTGCACCATGTGGATGAATACAAACTGCAATAGGGCTGCACCATGTAGATGAATACAAACTGCAATAGGGCTGCACCATGTGGATGAATACAAACTGCAATAGGGCTGCACCATGTGGATGAATACAAACTGCAATAGGGCTGCACCATGTGGATGAATACAAACTGCAATAGGGCTGCACCATGTGGATGAATACAAACTGCAATAGGGCTGCACCATGTGGATGAACACAAACTGCAATAGGGCTGCACCATGTGGATGAACACAAACTGCAATAGGGCTGCACCATGTGGATGAACACAAACTGCAATAGGGCTGCACCATGTGGAATAAATAACTAGTTCATTAAATAAATAGAGAAATTAATAAATAAATGGCAAAATAATTAATAAAATAATTCATGTTTAAATAAATAAATACAGAAACAAATACATCTAAGCTTTAATTACATGTATAAATAAATACTAAATATATGTTGTGACTATTTCACTATGTTTTGCTATATCAGAATCAGTGTTTTCGACGTTCAATACCACAACCCCCCCCCCCGTCGACGACGTCGTTCGCGAAACAGAGGGGCTGAACACAGAACTTTGCATGGGCAGCCCTGAGTACCAAACATCGTCTCCTGGTACTCATTTGAGTAACTCACGGAGAAAGTTATGTGCACCCCTATATATAGACTCTTCTTGCACTATTTTATTTGTTTTATGTCCTATATATATTCATGTCGCTCTGTTGGAGGAGACTGTGACTTCAGTTTTTAATTGACATATCTACTAGGGATGGGAATTTGAAAGCAAATTTATATTCGAATATTCAACCCCACAAAAAAACTGTTAACCGAATTTCCGTATCCTAAAAACCTTTTTTAATAATAAATAAATAATCAAATAAATATAGAAACCAAGCCAACTTATCTTTGATATTTTTCTTTCTCCGTCGTATACATTTAATTAATCCATTTGATAATATGTAATCAACTTAAGCACCCCTCCCATTAAAAAAGGTATTCATAACTCATATTCTAATGCCACACATTTAAAGGCGACCTATCATGCAAAATGCACTTTTTGATGTCTTTTATACATCAACATGTGTCCCCGGCGTGTCCCCGGTGTGTCCCCGGTGTGTCCCCGGTGTGTCGGGGAACTCACGCAGTGTCAGAAAATAAAACCCTCTCTCTTTTCCTCCGTACCCAAATCTCTAAAAACGGGGAACAACGGAGCTGATCCAGATTTGCGTCCGATATGACGTAATATCTGAAATGTGGACCCACGGCCCAATCAGAAAGTTGCTATCAGAAACAATGCCCGACTGTTTTGGACGTAATATGGTCGGTGTTTACATTAGCATGGCTAACACTCAGAGCTAACCTGTACTGGAGAGCATGTGTGTGAAGAAGCAGGAAATCAAAAGGAACTCACCTTGTGGTATAACCGGCAAGAGAGAAAGCCTTTGAGCTCCATACTGTTTCAGAGACAATCCTTGATAATCCATGATATGGCGTTTCATCACGGCAGTATTTAGTTTAGACAGTAGCTGCTGGGTCCCGCATGAGCTCAGACCCCTACTTTTTGATTTATCAATTTTTTTTTTTTTAAAGCTTTATACCCCAAATCATCACTTTAGAAACAGGAAGTGAAACAGAGGGGTATGAGGCATGGCTAGAATGGGTGATCTGTTTGGTGTTTGGAGCAAAACACTTCATAGACATGTTTTTTATATTTGTATATATCTGAGACCTATGCTATTGGCTAAAGATAGCATGATAGGTGACCTTTAAGTTATTATTGAATCCTGAATCTGTTCCCCCTGTGTTTGTAGAAATGGTGGAGTCGATGAAGAACGTGGCCAGCATGGACGTGGAGCTGACGGTGGAGGAGAGGAATCTGCTTTCGGTCGCCTATAAGAACGTGATCGGAGCCAGAAGAGCTTCATGGAGGATAATCAGCAGCCTGGAGCAGAAGGAGGAGAACAAAGGAGGAGAGGACAAACTAAAGATGATCAAGGAATACAGGAAAACGGTCAGAAACTGTTCGTTATAAACTCTGGGTTCTAGCTCCAGGAGATAGTTTAGTTTATTTGTTTATAGTGTCATGGACAGTCCCCATTGATCTGTCACAAAGAACAGTAAAAGGGGTTAATCAAGATGTATATAAAACACAAGATCAATAAACAAACGATAGCTAACATTTCCCTACAGTTTAAAGCTCCTTTTGTGGGACAGAAAAGTAACCTGTGTGGTGTTGTTGTTGTGCAGGTGGAGAAGGAGCTGAAGTCAATCTGCAACGACATCCTGGACGTACTGGACAAACATCTCATCCAAGCCGCAGTTTCGGGAGAATCTAAGGTTTTCTACTACAAAATGTACGTATTTAAAAAAACATTTTATAATACAAATACTCTGCCACATCATTGTGTGTGTGTGTGTGTGTGTGTGTGTGTGTGTGTGTGTGGTGTGTGTGTGTGTGTGTGTGTGTGTGTGTGTGTGTGTGTGTGTGTGTGTGTGTGTGTGTGTGTGTGTGTGTGTGTGTGTGTGTGTGTGTGTGTGTGTGTGTGTGTGTGTGTGTGTGTGTGTGTGTGTGTGTGTGTGTGTGTGTGTGTGTGTGTGTGTGTGTGTGTGTGTGTGTGTGTGTGTGTGTGTGTGTGTGTGTGTGTGTGTGTGTGTGTGTGTGTGTGTGTGTGTGTGTGCTCCCGCACTCATTATTGTGCACTAAATGCAATGTATTGTTTTTCTGAAGCTGAGAATCCCTTTCATTTTATTTTTTATTGACTGTGTGCGTAAACGGAAGTATTTCAATACCGTTTGAACAATATTGTAATCTTTTTAATTCGGATCCTTGGCCCATTTCTAAATGTCCCGTCAGTTTAGGTGTGGCTGAAAGTCCAAATCTTCCAGTAGAGAATAAATAAAATATTATAGGAGTCATATTGTTGCCCTTCCATTGGCTAACACATTATACGTGATAGTCTAATGGCGCATTTCCACTACACGGTCGGCCTCGGCCACACTCGGTACGGCTCGGTACGGCTTGGCCGCGTTGGGCCTTAACAGGGCCGACTCACTTCATGCTGCGCTTCCATTACAGTTTAGGAACTGGGGTAGTTACTATAGTAACGCAGTGTAGGCGGAGCCGTGACGTCATCTTCAATGAGAAATCCAGAAACACAACTTAGCTGTTAGCACTCAGAGCTCACAGCTCCTCATATCTGTTCAGAAACTAGACAAAAGTTAAACAAGTACAAACCACAGACTGCCTGTGTCATGGTGAATACAGTCGCTGCTTTATTTATGTCTGTAGGCCGTTGTTGTGAGTGTGGACGGTCGGAGCATATACTGCGTTAGCTTAGCCAATCTCCATTTAGAAAACAAGCATTTTAAAAGGTGTTTCTCCTGCCGTCTGTCTGCAGACTTGACAAAGCATTAATTCATGGTTTTTACTAACCGGTATCAGTATGTTGTTACTTCGGCATCATTTTGAAACGTGTATTACAATTAAATCACGGTCAAATATGTCCATCTTGTTGTAGTTCTAGCCCTCTTGCCAGCGCTCCTCTCTCTAGTTTAGCATACTCAGCCCGACTCAGCCCTGTTTGTTGGCCCCGATAGAACCACAATTTTCTAGGGCCAGAAAAAAGGTGAAAAAGTGGCCCCGCGCCGTGCCGCGCCGGAACTAGGCCTAGTGGAAGCACAACCAAATAAGGGGACGGCACGACACGGCACGCTTAAAGCGAGCTCCGCGCTGCAGTGGAACTGCGCCATAAGGGGCGGGATATCTCTAAGCTGGTTGACCAATCACAACAGAACCGTCCAGCTAACCAATCAGAGCAGACTGGGCTCTGGTTTCAGACAGAGGGTGAAAAGAGGAGCTGCAGCACAGGCAGTATGAGAAAAGAGCTTTCTGAACATTAAAGCATGGAGACATGTCCCAGGAGAGTAAAGTGTCTGAAGATGATAATCAGATATATTTTGGTTTCATTTGAGTGCTCGTTAAATGTGCAAATCAACTATTATCATTACTGGTAAACAAACAGCTCGTGTAAATATTTAAAAGGCTCGTTGAGCATCACGCGTGTTAATTGTAGGGGTGCAACAATTCATGCTCGTGTCTAAAACTGTATACTAGTGGACATTTATTTCAGTACTGCAGGTTTGTTGACAGGTGGTAAGTAGTGGAGTACAAATACTTCATTATACTGAAGTACATGTTTCTGGTATCAGTACTTTACTCCACTACTTATTTTTCTGACGACTTTTTACTTTGACTTCTTACATTTTGAACACAAATACCTGTACTTTCTACTTCTTACACTTTGAACACAAATACCTGTACTTTCTACTTCTTACATTTTGAACACAAATACCTGTACTTTCTACTTCTTACATGTTGAACACAAATACCTGTACTTTCTACTTCTTACATGTTGAACCCAAATACCTGTACTTTCTACTTCTTACATGTTGAACTCAAATACCTGTACTTTCTACTTCTTACATGTTGAACCCAAATACCTGTACTTTCTACTTCTTACATGTTGAACACAAATACCTGTACTTTCTACTTCTTACATGTTGAACCCAAATACCTGTACTTTCTACTTCTTACACTTTGAACTCAAATACCTGTACTTTCTACTTCTTACACTTTGAACTCAAATACCTGTACTTTCTACTTCTTACACTTTGAACTCAAATACCTGTACTTTCTACTTCTTACATGTTGAACACAAATACCTGTACTTTCTACTTCTTACATGTTGAACCCAAATACCTGTACTTTCTACTTCTCACATGTTGAACACAAATACCTGTACTTTCTACTTCTCACATGTTGAACCCAAATACCTGTACTTTCTACTTCTTACATGTTGAACCCAAATACCTGTACTTTCTACTTCTTACATGTTGAACCCAAATACCTGTACTTTCTACTTCTTACATGTTGAACACTAATACCTGTACTTTCTACTTCTCACATGTTGAACTCAAATACCTGTACTTTCTACTTCTTACATGTTGAACACTAATACCTGTACTTTCTACTTCTTACATGTTGAACCCAAATACCTGTACTTTCTACTTCTTACATGTTGAACTCAAATACCTGTACTTTCTACTTCTTACATGTTGAACACAAATACCTGTACTTTCTACTTCTTACATGTTGAACCCAAATACCTGTACTTCTACTTCTTACACTTTGAAACCCAAATACCTGTACTTTCTACTTCTTACATGTTGAACACAAATACCTGTACTTTCTACTTCTTACATGTTGAACCCAAATACCTGTACTTTCTACTTCTTACATGTTGAACACAAATACCTGTACTTTCTACTTCTTACATGTTGAACACAAATACCTGTACTTTCTACTTCTTACATGTTGAACTCAAATACCTGTACTTTCTACTTCTTACATGTTGAACCCAAATACCTGTACTTTCTACTTCTTACATGTTGAACACAAATACCTGTACTTTCTACTTCTTACATGTTGAACTCAAATACCTGTACTTTCTACTTCTTACATGTTGAACCCAAATACCTGTACTTTCTACTTCTTACATGTGAACTCAAATACCTGTACTTTCTACTTCTTACATGTTGAACACAAATACCTGTACTTTCTACTTCTTACATGTTGAACCCAAATACCTGTACTTTCTACTTCTTACACGTTGAACCCAAATACCTGTACGTTCTACTTCTTACATGTTGAACACAAATACCTGTACTTTCTACTTCTTACATGTTGAACCCAAATACCTGTACTTTCTACTTCTTACATGTTGAACACAAATACCTGTACTTTCTACTTCTTACATGTTGAACACAAATACCTGTACTTTCTACTTCTTACATGTTGAACCCAAATACCTGTACTTTCTAACTTCTTACATGTTGGAACATCAAATACCTGTACTTTCTACTTCTTACATGTTGAACACAAATACCTGTACTTTCTACTTCTTACATGTTGAACCCAAATACCTGTACTTTCTACTTCTTACACTTTGAAAACCAAATACCTGTACTTTCTACTTCTTACATGTTGAACCAAATACCTGTACTTTCTACTTCTTACAGTTGAAACACAAATACCTGTACTTTCTACTTGCTTACATGTTGAACTCAAATACCTGTACTTTCTACTTCTTACATGTTGAACACAAATACCTGTACTTTCTACTTCTTACATGTTGAACCCAAATACCTGTACTTTCTACTTCTTACACTGTTGAACACAAATACCTGTACTTTCTACTTCTTACATGTTGAACACAAATACCTGTACTTTCTACTTCTTACATGTTGAACACAAATACCTGTACTTTCTACTTCTTACATGTTGAACCCAAATACCTGTACTTTCTACTTCTTACATGTTGAACACAAATACCTGTACTTTCTACTTCTTACATGTTGAACACAAATACCTGTACTTTCTACTTCTTACATGTTGAACTCAAATACCTGTACTTTACATTAATACTTCTCTACTTCTTACATGTTGAACACAAATACCTGTACTTTCTACTTCTTACATGTTGAACACAAATACCTGTACTTTCTACTTCTTACATGTTGAACACAAATACCTGTACTTTCTACTTCTTACATGTTGAAACCAAATACCTGTACTTTCTACTTCTTACATGTTGAACACAAATACCTGTACTTTCTACTTCTTACCTGTTGAACCCAAATACCTGTACTTTCTACTTCTTACATGTTGAACCCAAATACCTGTACTTTCTACTTCTTACATGTTGAACCCAAATACCTGTACTTTCTACTTCTTACATGTTGAACCCAAATACCTGTACTTTCTACTTCTCACATGTTGAACACAAATACCTGTACTTTCTACTTCTTACATGTTGAACACAAATACCTGTACTTTCTACTTCTTACATGTTGAACACAAATACCTGTACTTTCTACTTCTTACATGTTGAACACAAATACCTGTACTTTCTACTTCTTACATGTTGAACCCAAATACCTGTACTTTCTACTTCTCACATGTTGAACACAAATACCTGTACTTTCTACTTCTTACATGTTGAACTCAAATACCTGTACTTTCTACTTCTCACATGTTGAACCCAAATACCTGTACTTTCTACTTCTCACATTTTCCAAACAGGCTGGTTCCTTTAGTTTGAATGTGTGTTTGGTGGCGTGATCATTATTATTTAGAGTCATTGCGTGCCTATTGATTTGAACACGATCCGTGTATCCATCATTTCCTGGTCTTCTCTAAAGAAGAGGGACCAATGAAAACGTTGTCATGTTGCCGTTGTTCAGCATGGAAACATTCATTAGCTAACAATGACATTATTGTTCTATTAATATAAAGGGAGGTCAGGTACTCTTTAAAACAGCTGCTAGTTATGGGTACTTTTTACTGAAGTACATTTCAAAGCCCTCTTTACTTTGACTTGAGTAAAGAAGTTTAGTCAGTACTTCTACTTTCACCAGAGTATTTCTAAACACGAGTATGTGTACTTCTACTTGAGTAAAGGATGTGTGCACTTTTGCCCTCTCTGTTTGTTGATGTCTCTGTTCTGTTGTGTTTCTCAGGAAGGGAGATTACCACAGGTACCTGGCAGAGTTTGCCACCGGTAACGACAGGAAGGAGGCAGCAGAGAACAGTTTGGTTGCGTATAAAGCTGCGAGCGACATCGCGATGATCGAGCTCCCTCCAACGCACCCCATCCGCCTCGGACTGGCCCTCAACTTCTCAGTTTTCTATTACGAAATCCTCAACTCGCCGGACCGCGCCTGCAAGTAGGTGTTCACGTTCAAAACTGACCTTTTTTAACCCCGTTTTGGTTTCACGACACATTTAGTATCGTGAACACCTGCTGGTAGCGTTAAATATTTTTTAAATGTTTTTAGAATTGTATTTTAGTTTTAATTCTAAAATGGAGCAACTGTGATTAAGGAGCGTTCTGATTATAATTTAATTCAGATTTTGCACAAAACTCTGAGCTCCTCTGCACTATTTCCCACTGAAGCTCTCCCAGTGCCAGCAGAACATAATAATACATTAAAAGAATTTTGAGAAAAAGTAAGAATTGAGAGAAATTCAGGATTTTGAGAAAATGTAAGAATTTTGAAAGAAATTGGAGAAAAAGTCAGAATTTTTCAGAAAAAGCCAGAATTTTTCAGAATTGAGAAAATGTAAGAATTTTGAGAGAAATTTAAGAAAAAGTAAGAATTTTGAGAGAAAAAGTAAGGATTTTGTGAAAAAGTCAGGATTTTGAGGAAAATTCAGGATCTTTAGAGAAATTTGAGAAAAAGTCAGAAATTTGAGAAAATTGAGAAAAAACCCAACAAATTATCTTTTTTAGTTTTGACTACTTCCATTCTTGAGAGGATCATAAATACATGGATCCTGAGATTGAAGCTCAAGCCTAACGGTGCGTCCTCTTCCCTCTCAGGTTGGCGAAGGAAGCGTTCGACAATGCGATCGCAGAGCTGGACACGCTGAACGAGGACAGCTACAAGGACTCAACACTTATCATGCAGTTGCTACGTGACAACTTAACACTATGGACCTCAGACGTGCAGGGAGATGGTGAGAGGAAAAACACTCATTAGATATAATACGGTATATTATAGAATATGCAGCGATATATGGGAACTATATTTATTAGCTTTTTTAATCCATTTTAATATAAAAAGCCGCTGTCCTTTGTCAGGGTTGTGGGTTCAGACTCGCCTAAATTAGTTTACTAAGAAATCCGTAGATTGCGGTTACATTGCACTTATTTGTTATTTATATTTATTTAGCAAGCCAGCCGGGCTGCTTATAAAAAGATGAACAATAACAACTTTGCTGCTCCCGTTCGTCACTGCCATATATGGGCGTACATGTCATTTCCTGTCTCAATAAAGCAACAGCGCATATTCAAATGACAGACTTTATATTTAATCCTATTGTAATAAACAACGTATGTAGATTTAATCAAAGGCATTTAACAAATAATCAAACAATTATAATCCTCCTGAAGTCAAATGGCTCTGAGTGATGATATTGTAGGAATTGTAGGACAGAATACTCACACAGTTACTAAGCAGCTAACAGCTAGAAGTGGGAAGTTACTGAAATGCTGCCTTTTTAAAATCAGGAAAAGGCACTTAAAATATTAAGATATTCAAAACTATGACGTCTCATTTCACAATATTGATATCAAACCTATATACATTTTTTTTATTATTATTTCTTCCACTCACAGCTAATTTATTATAAAACAATTAACAAAACTTGAAGCTGCTTGATGCAAAAGAGCAGGGAGAAGAAAGGCTTATTTGACCCCAAACTAGAAAATAGTGGTCTCTCAATCACAGCTCACTAACCAATACTTGCAGTTATATCAAAGATCACAAGTCAAACATCTACCATCAACCTTACCTGACATGTTTATTACCAATTATTCTTATTTTAAAACCTTTTCTTGAACCTAAACATGTCCGTACCGCCCTTTCAATCATCCGGTCACTCTAACCCCAAATTCAGAGCCTTTTTTTCCTCCAATTTACAAAAAAACATACATTTTCTTTTTGTCAGAATCCCAATCGTTTCTTGGTTTTTGTCAGATATGTTGGGCTTTTCTCGAGCTCATATGTTTCCTAAAGCTCATATGTTTCCTAAAGCTCATATGTTTCCTAAAGCTCATATGTTTCCTAAAGCTCATATGTTTCCTGAAGCTCATACGTTTCCTGAAGCTCATATGTTTCCTAACGTCGGCCTCTGGAGTGAGCTCATATGTTTCCTAAAGCTCATACGTTTCCTAAAGCTCATATGTTTCCTAAAGCTCATATGTTTCCTAAAGCTCATATGTTTCCTAAAGCTCATACGTTTCCTAAAGCTCATACGTTTCCTAAAGCTCATACGTTTCCTGAAGCTCATATGTTTCCTAACGTCGGCCTCTGGATGCTGGTCTTTCACATCTTTGAATCCCAACTCAACTCAAGACTCAAACACAACCTCACTTTCCCCTTCGTCTTTCTCTCCTCTCTCTGGAGCTCTCTCCCTCCTCTTCATTGTAGAAGTGCATTTTGTAAGTCATTCTTCCTGTCTGACTGTCTGTCTCACCCCTCTATCCCGTCTCACCCCTCTATCCCGTCTCACCCCTCTATCCCGTCTCACCCCTCTATCCCGTCTCACCCCTCTATCCCGTCTCACCTCTCTATCCCGTCTCTCACCTCTCTATCCCGTCTCACCCCTCTATCCCGTCTCACCCCTCTATCCCGTCTCACCCCTCTATCCCGTCTCACCCCTCTATCCCGTCTCACCTCTCTATCCCGTCTCTCACCTCTCTATCCCGTCTCACCCCTCTATCCCGTCTCACCCCTCTATCCCGTCTCACCCCTCTATCCCGTCTCACCCCTCTATCCCCGTCTCACCTCTCTATCCCGTCTCTCACCTCTCTATCCCGTCTCACCCCTCTATCCCGTCTCACCTCTCTATCCCGTCTCACCTCTCTATCCCGTCTCACCTCTCTAACCTCTCTATCCCGTCTCACCTCTCTATCCCGTCTCTCACCTCTCTATCCCGTCTCACCTCTCTAACCTCTCTATCCCGTCTCACCTCTCTAACCTCTCTATCCCGTCTCACCTCTCTATCCCGTCTCACCCCTCTATCCCGTCTCACCCCTCTATCCCGTCTCACCCCTCTATCCCGTCTCACCCCTCTATCCCGTCTCACCCCTCTCTATCCCGTCTCACCTCTCTATCCCGTCTCACCCCTCTATCCCGTCTCACCCCTCTATCCCGTCTCACCCCTCTATCCCGTCTCACCCCTCTATCCCGTCTCACCCCTCTATCCCGTCTCACCTCTCTATCCCGTCTCTCACCCCTCTATCCCGTCTCACCCCTCTATCCCGTCTCACCCCTCTATCCCGTCTCACCCCTCTATCCCGTCTCACCTCTCTATCCCGTCTCTCACCTCTCTATCCCGTCTCACCCCTCTATCCCGTCTCACCTCTCTATCCCGTCTCACCTCTCTAACCTCTCTATCCCGTCTCACCTCTCTATCCCGTCTCTCACCTCTCTATCCCGTCTCACCTCTCTAACCTCTCTATCCCGTCTCACCTCTCTAACCTCTCTATCCCGTCTCACCTCTCTATCCCGTCTCACCCCTCTATCCCGTCTCACCCCTCTATCCCGTCTCACCTCCTCACCTCACACACTGCTGCCTTGTTCTTTAGGGTTACCCACAGATCAAATGGAAAACAAGCTGTAATTTAATGTAAAAAGTGTTATATTTTCACCGTTTTGTGCATGAATGAAACTCGAGTGTCAGCAAGTCAGTAACGGTCTCTTTCAGGACTCTTTAAAGTAGAGACACTACATGTATACTCCTGAACATCAGCATGAGAGGACTCTTTAAAGTAGAGACACTACATACTGATATACTCCTGAACATCAGCAGGAGAGGACTCTTTAAAGTAGAGACACTACATACTAATATACACCTGAACATCAGCAGGAGAGGACTCTTTAAAGTAGAGACACTACATACTGATATAGACCTGAACATCAGCAGGAGAGGACTCTTTAAAGTAGAGACACTACATACTGATATACACCTGAACATCAGCAGGAGAGGACTCTTTAAAGTAGAGACACTACATACTAATATACACCTGAACATCAGCAGGAGAGGACTCTTTAAAGTAGAGACACTACATACTGATATACACCTGAACATCAGCAGGAGAGGACTCTTTAAAGTAGAGACACTACATACTGATATACACCTGAACATCAGCAGGAGAGGACTCTTTAAAGTAGAGACACTACATACTGATATACACCTGAACATCAGCAAGAGAGGACTCTTTAAAGTAGAGACACTACATACTGATATACACCTGAACATCAGCAGGAGAGGACTCTTTAAAGTAGAGACACTACATACTGATATACACCTGAACATCAGCAGGAGAGGACTCTTTAAAGTAGAGACACTACATACTGATATACACCTGAACATCAGCAGGAGAGGACTCTTTAAAGTAGAGACACTACATACTGATATACACCTGAACATCAGCAGGAGAGGACTCTTTAAAGTAGAGACACTACATACTGATATACACCTGAACATCAGCAGGAGAGGACTCTTTAAAGTAGAGACACTACATACTGATATACACCTGAACATCAGCAGGAGAGGACTCTTTAAAGTAGAGACACTACATACCGATATACTCCTGAACATCAGCAGGAGAGCACTCTTTAAAGTAGAGACACTACATACTGATATACACCTGAACATCAGCAGGAGAGGACTCTTTAAAGTAGAGACACTACATACTGATATACACCTGAACATCAGCAGGAGAGGACTCTTTAAAGTAGAGACACTACATACTGATATACACCTGAACATCAGCAGGAGAGGACTCTTTAAAGTAGAGACACTACATACTGATATACACCTGAACATCAGCAGGAGAGGACTCTTTAAAGTAGAGACACTACATACTGATATACACCTGAACATCAGCAGGAGAGGACTCTTTAAAGTAGAGACACTACATACTGATATACACCTGAACATCAGCAGGAGAGGACTCTTTAAAGTAGAGACACTACATACTGATATACACCTGAACATCAGCAGGAGAGGACTCTTTAAAGTAGAGACACTACATACTGATATACACCTGAACATCAGCAGGAGAGGACTCTTTAAAGTAGAGACACTACATACTGATATACACCTGAACATCAGCATAATGTCTTCTTTTTTATAAACGATAGTGAATCCAATCATTACATTTAGACTCACAGTACTTGCGGACACCTTCCACCACACTCACTGTGTGTGTGTGTGTGTGCAGAGTGTGTGTGTGTGCAGAGTGTGTGTGAGATGTGAACTTATTGGAGTGTGATATATAACGGCTGAAGTGCAGTAACAGCATGTTTCTCACGTCTCTGTTAGCCGCGGCGCTAACGAGTCGCTCTTTTCTATTTTAATCACAACGGGTTCTCAGGGCTTTTTGTTCTTCGTGCCTCTAAACTCTAATCACACGGATGGCTGTGCTGTCTCCATGGAAACCTTTATTAGAAACTACAGGTTCACTTTTTACCCCCCGAAACACAGCCGAGCATCGAAGCTAACTAGGGATGTCCCGATCACCTTTTTTTGCTCCCGATCCGATTCCGATCATTTGATTTTGACAATCTGCCGATACCGATTTTTCCCGATCCGATCTTTATGCAATGCATTAAGAGAAAAAAAAGGTAACAGATAACGGCTGGTCATCCAACGCGATGAATTCAGCTATCTTGGCTGTTATTCTTTTGGCCTTTTCACTGTTCTGGGGCAGTTTCTCTTTCCTTTTAAAAGTCTCTGAAAGTGTCGGTTGTTTCAGTGCCGTTACCTGAGTGGCCGCTGTGTACTCCTCGTGTTGTTGTTGGTGTTTGTATTAGATTGGTCGTGTTGAACGTAGCTCTGTTCTTTCCACCACGCGGAACCTCCGCCTTGCAAACATTGCATCTGGCTGTTACACTGCCTTCGCTTTCAATTTTATAATACTTCCAAACTCCTGACATTTTCTCTGTCCCGACTCCCGAGGCACCGGCTGAACGTAGCCTCTCGTGACACCGGCTGAACGTAGCCTCTCGTGACACCGGCTGAACGTCTCGTGACACCGGCTGAACGTCTCGTGACACCGGCTGAACGTAGCCTCTCGTGACACCGGCTGAACGTAGCCTCTCGTTACACCGGCTGAACGTAGCCTCTCGTTACACCGGCTGAACGTAGCCTCTCGTTACACCGGCTGAACGTAGCCTCTCGTGACACCGGCTGAACGTAGCCTCTCGTGACACCGGCTGAACGTAGCCTCTCGTGACACCGGCTGAACGTAGCCTCTCGTGACACCGGCTGAACGTAGCCTCTCGTGACACCGGCTGAACGTAGCCTCTCGTGACACCGGCTGAACGTAGCCTCTCGTGACACCGGCTGAACGTAGCCTCTCGTGACACCGGCTGAACGTAGCCTCTCGTGACACCGGCTGAACGTAGCCTCTTGTTAGCTTACTGCTACTATTAGACACTGCGCCCACTCTGTTGCCAGATTTGAGAGAAATAAGCAACCAGGTCTATGAAAACAAGCCCAAAAGAAGCAACACATACATGATGTGTAATTTTAAACCAATACTAAGGCCTCAGGATGACTTTTCGTGAACATGGTCATTTTTGTTTTGTAACATTAAATAAAATAAGAAAAACATTTTATTAAAAAAAAAAAAAAAAGAAAGAAAAATTCCGATCCCCGATTTTTTTCTCTCGATTCCGATCTTTTGAAAATCACGTGATCGGCGCCGATCCCCGATCACGTGATCGGATCGGGACATCTCTAAAGCTAACCGCTAACTGCATGTTGGGATGTCTGTTTCAGGATCATTTTAGAGCGACTAACTACAAACTGTCGTATATATTTATTTACTTTGAAACAAAGGAGCTGCATGACTAATGAATATTATCTTGTTAATGTTTGAAATAACCCTGTGAGCATTTTCTTTCTCGACTATATTCATTAAACATCTTCATCACTTTTAACCAAAAAATAATCTAGTGGTTAAACTGTTTAAGAAAAAAGTAGATTTCTCCAACAAATGATAAGAAGTTGTTTATCCACAAGGAACAAAATGCTCCTCAATAACATCTAAAGATATCACATATGGAAGACATTTTACTGCAGAATTACTTACGTTTTTAAATGTAGGATTCTTACTTTCAACGCAGTATTTTCACCTTGCTCTGTCCATAATCTGTGTATTTCTTCCTCCTCTGATTAAATATAAACATCAATAACACGTTGTTTGTTTCTGTCGTTGTCTCTCAGGTGAAGAACCGAGCACAGAAGCAACGCAAAACCCCGAGGAAGAGACTCAGTGAGACGGGACAACAAGAAACACGCCGCCTCCTCCTCTCCCTCCATCTTTCTCACCCTTTCTCCCCATATGCATGTCATGTCTGAACCCCCCCCCTCTTGAGTTTTACCTTTTTTTGACGACTCATATTTGCAAGCCTGTACCCTTTAAGTCCTCTTTTACTGTTTTTCTTTCTTTCTTTGCCGTTATCATCTGTTGCCAAGTGCGCTCGCCTGTATCCGTAACACACGAGAGTTATTTAAAGACTTTGCGGTTAAGCTTGTTTTGTTTTTTTGTGTGTGTGTTTATGAACAATATACTGTCCAATTTCAGTTTGGAAATAAAGCATCGGTGGTGGTGGGAAAACATTTAAAGGGATGTGTTAAAGCTTTGAGTGCCCTCTTTACGTACCTGCTCCTTCAACACATCAATACTTCTTATTTTTTTAATAACAAACGACATGTCCCTTTTTCCGGTTAAACAGCATCTTCTGACCTCTGTTCTCATCCAAGTGTTCTGCTGCCAAGCTTTTGCTAATATCAGATAGTTAGGTAATGGCTTTTTAGCAGGAACATGCGTGTGTGTGTGGGAGGGGAATGCTCAACACTCTTGATTGTAATGTAAATGCAGTTTTGCATTAACCACCTATTGTTTAAAAAACAAACAAAAAAAAGTTTGGGAAATAAGAGGCCTGCTGTACTCCCCCCCCCCCTGACTCTTCGTCCATCCTCTTCCTCCTCCTCATCTCTTCCTTCTGTTCGGTATGTGTAACGTGAATCTGATTTGTACTACTGGATATTCTCACCGGAGCCACAAGTACCATCTGTATTCTTACTGAAACACAGCATGGAAATAACATTAAACTTCAAAATGTAAAATGTTACCGAGGTGTTCTCTTCTGTGTGTGGTTTGGTTTTCATCCACTAGATGGCAGTGTTTGAACGAGTACTGCTTCTGGTCGAGATGTAATGCTGTGGCTTTGTACCGTGTTCAAATGTATAAGAAAGTCATGGTATAGTATTTTGATAAAAAGTAATAGTGTCGAAAAAATGTATACCATTATAGTATGTCCAAAAGTGTAAAAGTCTTAGTTTAGAAAGTGTAAAAGTCGTAATATATTAAGTGTAAAAGTCTTAGTATAGTACGTGTAAAAAGTGTAAAAGTCATAGTAAGTCAAAAAGTGTAAAAGTCATAGTAAGTGTAAAAAGTGTAAAAGTCATAGTATAGTAAGTCAAAACGTGTAAAAGTCATAGTATAGTACGTCAAAACGTGTAAAAGTCATAGTATAGTAAGTCAAAACGTCTAAAAGTCATAGTATAGTAAGTCAAACCGTGTAAAAGTTATAGTATGTGTAAAACGTGTAAAAGTCATAGTATAGTAAGTCAAAACGTGTAAAAGTTATAGTATGTTAAAGTCATAGTATAGTAAGTCAAAACGTGTAAAAGTCATAGTACAGTAAGTTAAAATGTGTAAAAGTCATAGTATAGTAAGTCAAAACGTGTAAGTCATAGTATAGTACGTCAAAACGTGTAAAAGTCATAGTATAGTAAGTCAAAACGTGTAAAAGTTATAGTATGTAAAAGTCATAGTATAGTAAGTCAAAACGTGTAAAAGTCATAGTATAGTAAGTCAAAATGTGTAAAAGTCATAGTATAGTACGTCAAAACGTGTAAAAGTCATAGTATAGTAAGTCAAAACGTGTAAAAGTTATAGTATGTGTAAAACGTGTAAAGTCACAGTATAGTAAGTCAAACGTGTAAAAGTCATAGTATAGTAAGTCAAAAACGTGTAAAAGTCATAGTATAGTAAGTCAAAACGTGTAAAAGTCATAGTATAGTAAGTCAAAATGTGTAAAAGTTATAGTATGTGTAAAAGTCATAGTATAGTAAGTCAAAACGTGTAAAAGTCATAGTATAGTAAGTCAAAACGTGTAAAAGTTATAGTATGTGTAAAAAGTGTAAAAGTCATAGTATAGTAAGTCAAAACGTGTAAAAGTCATAGTATAGTACGTCAAAACGTGTAAAAGTCATAGTATAGTAAGTCAAAACGTGTAAAAGTTATAGTATGTGTAAAACGTGTAAAAGTCATAGTATAGTAAGTCAAAACGTGTAAAAGTCATAGTATAGTAAGTCAAACCGTGTAAAAGTTATAGTATGTGTAAACCGTGTAAAAGTCATAGTATAGTAAGTCAAAACGTGTAAAAGTCATAGTATAGTACGTCAAAACGTGTAAAAGTTATAGTATGTGTAAAACGTGTAAAAGTCATAGTATAGTAAGTCAAAACGTGTAAAAGTCATAGTATAGTAAGTCAAACCGTGTAAAAGTTATAGTATGTGTAAAACGTGTAAAAGTCATAGTATAGTAAGTCAAAACGTGTAAAAGTCATAGTATAGTACGTCAAAACGTGTAAAAGTCATAGTATAGTACGTCAAAATGTGTAAAAGTCATAGTGTAGTCAGTCAAAACGTTTAAAAGTTATAGTATGTGTAAAACGTGTAAAAGTCATAGTATAGTAAGTCAAAACGTGTAAAAGTCATAGTATAGTAAGTCAAAATGTGTAAAAGTCATAGTATAGTGAGTCAAAACGTGTAAAAGTCATAGTATAGTACGTCAAAACGTGTAAAAGTCATAGTATAGTAAGTCAAAACGTGTAAAAGTTATAGTATGTGTAAAACGTGTAAAAGTCATAGTATAGTAAGTCAAAACGTGTAAAAGTCATAGTATAGTAAGTCAAAACGTGTAAAAGTCATAGTATAGTAAGTCAAAACGTGTAAAAGTTATAGTATGTGTAAAACGTGTAAAAGTCATAGTATAGTAAGTCAAAACGTGTAAAAGTCATAGTATAGTAAGTCAAAACGTGTAAAAGTCATAGTATAGTACGTCAAAACGTGTAAAAGTCATAGTATAGTAATTCAAAACGTGTAAAAGTTATAGTATGTGTAAAACGTGTAAAAGTCATAGTATAGTAAGTCAAAACGTGTAAAAGTCATAGTATAGTAAGTCAAAACGTGTAAAAGTCATAGTATTGTACGTCAAAACGTGTAAAAGTCATAGTATAGTAAGTCAAAACGTGTAAAAGTTATAGTATGTAAAAGTCATAGTATAGTAAGTCAAAACGTGTAAAAGTCATAGTATAGTAAGTCAAAACGTGTAAAAGTCATAGTATAGTACTTCAAAACGTGTAAAAGTCATAGTATGGTGAGTCAAAACGTGTAAAAGTTATAGTATAGTAAGTCAAAACGTGTAAAAGTCATAGTATAGTACGTCAAAACGTGTAAAAGTCATAGTATAGTAAGTCAAAACGTGTAAAAGTTATAGTATGTAAAAGTCATAGTATAGTAAGTCAAAACGTGTAAAAGTCATAGTATAGTAAGTCAAAATGTGTAAAAGTCATAGTATAGTACGTCAAAACGTGTAAAAGTCATAGTATAGTAAGTCAAACGTGTAAAAGTTATAGTATGTGTAAAACGTGTAAAAGTCACAGTATAGTAAGTCAAAACGTGTAAAAGTCATAGTATAGTAAGTCAAAACGTGTAAAAGTCATAGTATAGTAAGTCAAAACGTGTAAAAGTCATAGTATAGTAAGTCAAAACGTGTAAAAGTTATAGTATGTGTAAAAGTCATAGTATAGTAAGTCAAAACGTGTAAAAGTCATAGTATAGTAAGTCAAACGTGTAAAAGTTATAGTATGTGTAAAAAGTGTAAAAGTCATAGTATAGTAAGTCAAAACGTGTAAAAGTCATAGTATAGTACGTCAAAACGTGTAAAAGTCATAGTATAGTAAGTCAAAACGTGTAAAAGTTATAGTATGTGTAAAACGTGTAAAAGTCACAGTATAGTAAGTCAAAACGTGTAAAAGTCATAGTATAGTAAGTCAAAACGTGTAAAAGTCATAGTATAGTAAGTCAAAACGTGTAAAAGTCATAGTATAGTAAGTCAAAATGTGTAAAAGTTATAGTATGTGTAAAAGTCATAGTATAGTAAGTCAAAACGTGTAAAAGTCATAGTATAGTAAGTCAAAACGTGTAAAAGTTATAGTATGTGTAAAAAGTGTAAAAGTCATAGTATAGTAAGTCAAAACGTGTAAAAGTCATAGTATAGTACGTCAAAACGTGTAAAAGTCATAGTATAGTAAGTCAAAACGTGTAAAAGTTATAGTATGTGTAAAACGTGTAAAAGTCATAGTATAGTAAGTCAAAACGTGTAAAAGTCATAGTATAGTAAGTCAAACCGTGTAAAAGTTATAGTATGTGTAAACCGTGTAAAAGTCATAGTATAGTAAGTCAAAACGTGTAAAAGTCATAGTATAGTACGTCAAAACGTGTAAAAGTTATAGTATGTGTAAAACGTGTAAAAGTCATAGTATAGTAAGTCAAAACGTGTAAAAGTCATAGTATAGTAAGTCAAACCGTGTAAAAGTTATAGTATGTGTAAAACGTGTAAAAGTCATAGTATAGTAAGTCAAAACGTGTAAAAGTCATAGTATAGTACGTCAAACGTGTAAAAGTCATAGTATAGTAGGCGTCAAAATGTGTAAAAGTCATAGTGTAGTCAGTCAAAACGTTTAAAAGTTATGTATGTGTAAAACGTGTAAAAGTCATAGTATAGTAAGTCAAAACGTGTAAAAGTCATAGTATAGTAAGTCAAATGTGTAAAAGTCATAGTATAGTAAGTCAAAATGTGTTAAAAGTCATTAGTTATAAGTGAGTCCAAAACGTGTAAAAGTCATAGATATAGTACGTCAAAACGTAGTAAAAGTCATAGTATAGTAAGTCAAAACGTGTAAAAGTTATAGTATGTGTAAAACGTGTAAAAGTCATAGTATAGTAAGTCAAAACGTGTAAAAGTCATAGTATAGTAAGTCAAAACGTGTAAAAGTCATAGTATAGTAAGTCAAAACGTGTAAAAGTTATAGTATGTGTAAAACGTGTAAAGTCATAGTATAGTAAGTCAAAACGTGTAAAGTCATAGTATAGTAAGTCAAAACGTGTAAAAGTCATAGTATAGTACGTCAAAACGTGTAAAAGTCATAGTATAGTAATTCAAAACGTGTAAAAGTTATAGTATGTGTAAAACGTGTAAAAGTCATAGTATAGTAAGTCAAAACGTGTAAAAGTCATAGTATAGTAAGTCAAAACGTGTAAAAGTCATAGTATTGTACGTCAAAACGTGTAAAAGTCATAGTATAGTAAGTCAAAACGTGTAAAAGTTATAGTATGTAAAAGTCATAGTATAGTAAGTCAAAACGTGTAAAAGTCATAGTATAGTAAGTCAAAACGTGTAAAAGTCATAGTATAGTACTTCAAAACGTGTAAAAGTCATAGTATGGTGAGTCAAAACGTGTAAAAGTTATAGTATAGTAAGTCAAAACGTGTAAAAGTCATAGTATAGTACGTCAAAACGTGTAAAAGTCATAGTATAGTAAGTCAAAACGTGTAAAAGTTATAGTATGTAAAAGTCATAGTATAGTAAGTCAAAACGTGTAAAAGTCATAGTATAGTAAGTCAAAATGTTGTAAAAGTCATAGTATAGTACGTCAAAACGTGTAAAGTCATAGTATAGTAAGTCAAAAAACGTGTAAAAGTTAGAGTATGTGTAAAACGTGTAAAGTCACAGTATAGTAAGTCAAAACGTGTAAAAGTCATAGTATAGTAAGTCAAAACGTGTAAAAGTCATAGTATAGTAAGTCAAAACGTGTAAAAGTCATAGTATAGTAAGTCAAAACGTGTAAAAGTTATAGTATGTGTAAAAGTCATAGTATAGTAAGTCAAAACGTGTAAAAGTCATAGTATGTGTAAAAAGTGTAAAAGTCATAGTATAGTAAGTCAAAACGTGTAAAAGTCATAGTATAGTACGTCAAAACGTGTAAAAGTCATAGTATAGTAAGTCAAAACGTGTAAAAGTTATAGTATGTGCAAAACGTGTAAAAGTCATAGTATAGTAAGTCAAAACGTGTAAAAGTCATAGTATAGTAAGTCAAACCGTGTAAAAGTTATAGTATGTGTAAACCGTGTAAAAGTCATAGTATAGTAAGTCAAAACGTGTAAAAGTCATAGTATAGTACGTCAAAACGTGTAAAAGTCATAGTATAGTAAGTCAAAACGTGTAAAAGTCATAGTATAGTACGTCAAAACGTGTAAAAGTCATAGTATAGTACGTCAAAACGTGTAAAAGTCATAGTATAGTAATTCAAAACGTGTAAAAGTTATAGTATGTGTAAAACGTGTAAAAGTCATAGTATAGTAAGTCAAAACGTGTAAAAGTCATAGTATAGTAAGTCAAAACGTGTAAAAGTTATAGTATGTGTAAAAGTCATAGTATAGTAAGTCAAAACGTGTAAAAGTCATAGTATAGTAAGTCAAAACGTGTAAAAGTTATAGTATGTGTAAAACGTGTAAAAGTCATAGTATAGTAAGTCAAAACGTGTAAAAGTCATAGTATAGTAAGTCAAACCGTGTAAAAGTTATAGTATGTGTAAACCGTGTAAAAGTCATAGTATAGTAAGTCAAAACGTGTAAAAGTCATAGTATAGTACGTCAAAACGTGTAAAAGTCATAGTATAGTAAGTCAAAATGTGTAAAAGTCATAATATAGTAAGTCAAAACGTGTAAAAGTCATAGTATAGTAGGTCAAAACGTGTAAAAGTCATAGTATAGTACGTCAAAACGTGTAAAAGTCATAGTATAGTAAGTCAAACCGTGTAAAAGTTATAGTATGTGTAAAAAGTGTAAAAGTCATAGTATAGTAAGTCAAAACGTGTAAAAGTCATAGTATAGTAAGTCAAAACGTGTAAAAGTCATAGTATAGTAAGTCAAAACGTGTAAAAGTCTTAGTATAGTAAGTCAAAACGTGTAAAAGTCATAGTATAGTAAGTCAAAACGTGTAAAAGTCATAGTATAGTAAGTCAAAACGTGTAAAAGTCTTAGTATAGTAAGTCAAAACGTGTAAAAGTCATAGTATAGTAAGTCAAAACGTGTAAAAGTCATAGTATAGTAAGTCAAACGTGTAAAAGTCATAGTATAGTAAGTCAAAACGTGTAAAAGTCATAGTATAGTAAGTCAAAACGTGTAAAAGTCATAGTATAGTAAGTCAAAACGTGTAAAAGTCATAGTATAGTACGTGTAAAAGTCTTAGTATAGTACGTGTAAAAAGTGTAGAAGTCTTAGTCTTAGTACGTGTAAAAAGTGTAAAAGTCTTCCTATAGTATGTGTAAAAAGTCTTAGTATAGTAAGTCAAAAAGTGTAAAAGTTATAGTATATTAAGTCAAAAAGTCATAGTATAGTTGGTCGAAACGTGTAAACATTTTACAGGGTTGTGAGGTTTTCTCTTCTGTGTGGTTTGGTTTTCATCCACTAGGTGGCAGTGTTTGCTAGCAGCAGCAGAAGGATTGATGCTTGAGGTCGAGATTTAATGCAGTGGTTTTGTACCGTACTCAAATATGTATAAGAAGAAAGTCACGGTAAAGTATTTAGAAAAAATTGAAATAAAAAGTCAAAGTATAGTAAGTCACACGTGTAAAAGTCACGGTATAGTAAGTAAAAGTCTTAGTATAGCAAGTCTAAAAGTGTAACAGTCCAATTATAGTAAATTAAAAAGTGTAAAAGTCATAGTATATTAAGTCAAAACCTATTAAAATCATAGTATAAGAAGTCAAAGAACTTGTAAAACTCTTTAGTATAGTAAGTCAAAACGTGTAAAAGTCATAGTATATTAAAATGTTATTTGAGTGAGATCTTCTCTGGTTTGGTTTTTAATCCACTCGATGGCAGTATTTGCTAGCAGCAGCAGAAAGATTCCTACAGTAGATTTAATGCAGTGGTTTTACTGTGACTTTTTGTAATTTCTTTAGACATACTATACTATGAAAGAATAAATGAAAAAAAGCCATAGTATTTCAAAAAAAGTCAGGGTATGTTATTTAGAAAAATAAATAATAATATTTCTAAAAATGTTTGTCCAAAACTTTTAAGTAATTCTGTATGTGGAGAACAAAATTAAAACTCCTGCTAGTATAGCATGCTGAAACAAGTCATAGCAAAGTAAAAAGTCACGTGACAATATGTCAGAAAACGTAGTATATTGTATCGTGTGCTGAAAACATTTGAAGAAACTTAACTTCCATTAAAAGACGACACTAACACGCATTTTGAAATTTGTTTTTTTTACTTAAAAAAGATCAAAATAAAGATGTACAATTAAAACCTCAAAAGAAGACGCCATGTTACTCTTCAGCTCGAAACAGACGGATGGCATATTACTCTTCAGCTCGAAACAGACGGATGGCATATTACTCTTCAGCTCGAAACAGACGGATGGCATATTACTCTTCAGCTCTAAACAGACGGATGGCATATTACTCTTCAGCTCTAAACAGACGGATGGCAGGACAAACAAAGGCATGACCTGAAATATCTCCAACAGTTTCCTCCTGCCTTTTGGGATTCAAACGGAAAACATCTAGAAACGACGTCATGTTCGTCGCCGGCTGCTGATGTGGCTTCTTGTATCCTATTGCAGATTGTCCCAAAAACAAAAAGAGATGAGGACACTTCAGTGGGAAGGACTGTCTGCTACGGTGTGTCCAGCCTCCCACAATCCACAGTGTTTCAATAAAGGAATAACTTTATTATCAACAAACAACCAGTAGCTTTCTCTGGAAACAGACACTTGAAATAACATATTGAGAAACAAATGGGCCTTTTTTTTTATCATCTTCCCTTCATAGTTTTCGCCTCACACACACATCTATGAAGATCTACACCCATATTGGACATTTAAAACCAGGAGACAGACACTTTAGTTCCTCGGTACAAAAAATAGATCAAAGAATGAGAAAAATAGTTATATTCTGACGGCAGAAAGTTTATAAATACTCATAATAAGCGTCTCTCTGGGTCTACACAGTGAGGGGGTTTTCTGTTTTTAAGGGTTGGGGGTGGAGCTACTTTAACATTCATCGTTGAATATATTAATGAATCTGGGTATCAGAGTATCTGGGCAGTCGATACCCCCTTTTCACATTTAGAGAATACAATAACACATAACACTTTAACTCCTTCATCATGTTTTTCATTATTGCGATTAATAAAATCTTATTTAAAGATGATTTTACAAAAAAACCACTGTCCGTCTGTCCACTACTGCTATGTACATCTGTTTAAAAAGCAAGCATGTTACACAGTCGTCTCTATGTACAGCTAAAGTATTTTTTCCACTGAATATACATATTTACTTATCTTCACAGTTTCTCCTATGTTTGCTCACATATTCAATATCATTAGATTTGTGTTATTATGAGTACAAATGTGTTTATTCTTCTCCTCACCGGGGCTACTGTCCTCCCGGTGTTGATATCTAGTTCTGCTCGAGTCCGTGGAGCAAATTCTGTTTTGAAAACAATCTTGATTGTAAGTTCAGTTTTTTTTTTTTATATTCCCGATTCACAGCAATCCCAAAAAAAGACTTTTCAAGTTTACAGTTTTCTGGTCTTTATCATATTTCATGATATTATTCCTCCTCGTCTGCTCCTCTTCACCAGGGAATGGCTCCATTGGATTCTCATTGGATTCCCATTGGATTTCCTTTTTGATTCAAACATCCCCGAAAAAGAAAAAAAGAAAATCTAGATTGTTCTGCTTCTGGTTTCCGTAGATTTCCGAGAAAAAAAAAATCATCGTTCGTTTGTCCTCTAACTTCCCGGATCCGTCTCGCCCTCGTTTCCGGTTCTCTTGGTAGTGAAGAAGTTTCTGGTAGTTTTCGTTGGCGGTGTGATTATTGTTATTTTTTTTTTCTGGTTTCAGGATTTAAGGCACTTGAGAGGTTTTTGGTTTTCACGGGAGTTCGGAGGAGACGAGGGCGAGGCCGGAGCTCTGGCGGATCGGAGGTCCCGTGTGGACGGCTTTCGGACAGTCGGGCGTCAAAACCCGTCCGTTCTCCCCGACACTTCCTGTGATGGACATACGGGCTTTATTCCTCATGGCCTCTGTGAAGGTCAGCTGAGGAAAAGAGACAGAAAGAGAGGTGTTTGTGAACAGAGACGAGGAAATAAGACACGTTTGATACGAAGCAGATTGGAGTCGTAGGACGGGTTCGAGATCAAGAGTTCTTATGAAGCTTTACTGGCGCTAATTATTGATTTTAATTGTGTAATAGTATCTTTATTTAGTGTCATTTTGTACGTTTATGCCCTTGTTTTGAAGGAAGTGTTGGGCGATGGTTGGTTAGCTATGTATTGGAGACAGGTGGAGGTGGGGTTGACGCACCATATTATTTTTACCAGGGAAAACCATACTGTGTATTATCTGTTTACATCTATATTTAGGAAGTAAAATATAAAACAACCACATGTTTCAGGTGTGGGCCATCTTCCGTTATACTTTTAGAATGATAGTTTGGACACCCCTGCTTTAGATAATGGCAGAAATGTAGGCTGTATAAAAATAATCTGTATAAACTATTTGCTTGTTTACCTCTCTGATCGTTTATCTGCTTGCGTTTGAATGATCAGATTTAGCCCGTTTCAACACCTTTAATGACTTCTGTCTCCAAGAAACGTAAGAACTAGAACTCCAGTCTGCTTCAGCATTATCTGTTCAAACCAACACTTGAATATAAAGACAGAAGTGTAGCAGGACAGACGTTTCAGAGCCATTCAGGACAGAATGAAGCCAGCCCTCATTACACAGTGATAGTGATAGACAGGGAAGCTGACTCAGCAACATCCAGCTAATGAAGGGTTTGAAGAGCTGATGGGGGACAGAAACACACCGAAAGAAAGAGTGTAATGGACGAAGACCTGGGGGAAATATATCCAGAGACAGAAAGCAGAGGCTCTGCATCGATAGCCGAGCTCCAGGGATTCCTCTCTTTATCTTAAAGTCATTGGAGTTGGGATTGACGCAACATATGTTTTTTTTACAAGGGAAAACCAGAAGAAAGGCAGCAGGGCATGATGGGTAAACACTATTGTTCTTTGGATTATTGGAATAGATAGATAGTAGTAATAATTTCTTCCATACATGTTTGGATTAAAATCAAGGCTTAATCGTCCGTTAAAAACATCCCAACATAACTAAGAGTTTTCGGGACCCTTACTCTCCAACAGCCCCAAATAAACAAACGTAAGAGTTGTTCTTATGATGCTAGCTGTTATTAAATGAAGCTCTGACCATCATTTCAGTTATTTTTAACATTTAACAGTAATCAATAAGAGGTGTAAGAAGTACCCAGATCTTAAACTACAGTGTGAAAAATACTCCACTGCTCATTTTCTATGTGAAGAACAAAGTACAGACAGGGACAGATGACCTGCATTTTGATGAAAGGTGTAGACGTGTGAACAAGTAAGACATTGGTCCTCATTTAACATGCCTTTCCTACCTACTAAATATCAGATTTTGATGCTCAAATATTGCATTTATCGTGTATTTTTGACTACTTTAAGTGACTGAAATGATAATTATCTCCGCTCCGAGGTCAGGATGAGGAATACTTTCAGATTTTTTTGTTTTTTGCCCGGAGATGTGTGACGCTAGCTTGATAAATGAGAACCAGCGTCATGTCTGAGGATGACTCAGCGCTTCCTGTCACATTGAGAGGACCAGGACGTCACATGACCACAAGAGCAGATCAGACAAGGAGGTGGGAAGCCATTTATAGCCACGTTTTCACCACAGTCACTGAGCAAAGGAAGGAGACGTTTCACTTACAGATAAGAGGGAGGGGCTTATCGGCAGACTTTACGTTCAACCGTCTACATTTAATCAGCTTCCCCGTCGTTAAAACCATCGCTAAACTGGGCTACGTCCTGGATGCTGGTTCTGGGACTCTTGGGGGTTAGAAAGGGGGTCTTGGGGCTGGGATTGGGACTCTTTGGACTTTTGGGGGTTAAAAAGGGGGTTTTGGGGCTGGGATATGGACTCTGGGGGGTTAAAAAGGGGGCTTTGGGGCTGGGATATGGACTCTGGGGGGTTAAAAAGGGGGTCTTGGGGCTGGTTTTGGGACTCTTTGGACATTTGGAGTTTAAAAAGGGGGTTTTGGGGCTGGGATTGGTACTCTGGGGGGTTACAAAGGGGGTTTTGGGGCTGGGATTGGAACTCTTTGGACTTTTGGGGGTTAAAAAGGGGGTTTTGGGGCTGGGATATGGACTCTGGGGGGTTAAAAAGGGGGCTTCGGGGCTGGAATATGGACTCTTGGGACTTTAAGGGGGTTAAAAAGGGGGTTTTGGAGCTGGGTTTTGGACTCTGGGGGCTCAGGTTGGGTTAAGAAGGGGGGTTTTGGGGCTCAGGGGGGTTAACATGGGGGTTTTGGGGCTGGGATTGGGACTCTTGATACTCTGGGGGGTTATAAAGGGGTTTCTGGGGCTGGTTCTGGGACTCTGGGGACATTTGGAGGTTAAAAAGGGGGTTTTGGGGCTGGGATTGGTACTCTGGGGGGTTAAAAAGGGGGTTTTGGGGCTGGTTCTTGGACTCTGGGGGCTCGGAGGGGTTAAAATAGGGGTTTTGGGGCTGGGATTGGGACTCTGGGGGGTTAAAAAGGGGGTCTTGGGGCTGGTTTTGGGACTCTTTGGACTTTTGGGGGTTAAAAAGGGGGTTTTGGGGCTGGGATATGGACTCTGGGGGGTTAAAAAGGGGGCTTTGGGGCTGGGATATGGACTCTGGGGGGTTAAAAAGGGGGCTTTGGGGCTGGGATATGGACTCTGGGGGGTTAAAAAGGGGGTCTTGGGGCTGGTTTTGGGACTCTTTGGACTTTTGGGGGTTAAAAAGGGGGTTTTGGGGCTGGGATATGGACTCTGGGGGGTTAAAAAGGGGGCTTCGGGGCTGGAATATGGACTCTGGGGACTTTAAGGGGGTTAAAAAGGGGGTTTTGGAGCTGGGTTTTGGACTCTGGGGACTCAGGTTGGGTTAAGAAGGGGGTTTTGGGGCTCAGGGGGGTTAACATGGGGGTTTTGGGGCTGGGATTGGGACTCTTGATACTCTGGGGGGTTATAAAGGGGTTTCTGGGGCTGGTTCTGGGACTCTGGGGACATTTGGAGGTTAAAAAGGGGGTTTTGGGGCTGGGATTGGTACTCTGGGGGGTTACAAAGGGGTTTTTGGGGCTGGTTCTTGGACTCTGGGGGCTCGGAGGGGTTAAAATAGGGGTTTTGGGGCTGGGATTGGGACTCTTGGTACTCTGGGGGGTTACAAAGGGGGTTTTGGGTCTCCACCTTCATTCTCTTGGCCTCGTTGCGGGACTTGTAGCAGAACTCGATGAGCGCCACCAGCATGGCGAGGCCCAGACCCCCCACCAGGATGTAGAAGACCCCCGCCACGTTGCTCAGACTGAGAGCCTGGGACGACTTGTCCTGGATGAAGAGAGAGGGACGTTAGCAGTAGCATTAGCATCGATACTTCACATGTGTACAGGAGTGTGTGGAAAATAACTCATCATGCACACACACACGTTTATCTGTTGGTACGATAAGCAGTCATTCATTTCACTGTAGCATCTGACTTTCCACACACACACACACACACACACACACACACACACACACACACACACACACACACACACACACACACACACACACACACACACACACACACACACACACACACACACACACACACACACACACACACACACACACACACACACACACACACACACACACACACACACACACACACACCACACACACACACACACACACACACACACACACACACACACACACACACACACACACACACACACACACACACACACACACACACACACACACACACACACACACACACACACACACACACACACACACACACACACGTATTTATTTTATTTTAAATGTACTTAGACAGGTTAAAAAACATCTCGCCCAAATAATATATATTGTTGACCAAATATTTCATCATGTTTTTCGCACAGTCTTAGCTGTAAAGGGCCTTTAAGCACTTTTCTTTCTGTAGAGATACTCACTTAAATATATTTTATATATATATATATATGTATATATCATATGTCTATATTGTCTGTTCTTAGGGTTAATACTTATTCAGTATTTTGTGATATTGTGTATATTGATATATGTATTTTCTACTGTTGATATGCATTTATTTACTGTTTACCACTGTTTCTATTATATTGTAATATATGTTTACCTTTGTGTAATACAAACTACATCTAATCTAAAAAACTGCTGACAGCATGCTCTGTGTATAATCTAAAGCAACAGGAAACGTGTTTTTAAAAAGCATTTAAAACTCCCTGCATGCTGAATCTGATCTCGTTCTTTAATTTGTCTGCAGCTTTCACCTCCTCACCCTTTTTATTCAAATGTATGCAGCTCTGACTCCTTATCTCCTCCCACACAAACTGCCTGTCATGCTTAAAGTCTCATTTTGCAGGTGTGTGTGTGTGTGTGTGTGTGTGTGTGTGTGTGTGTGTGTGTGTGTGTGTGTGTGTGTGTGTGTGTGCGTCCACATCTTGTGTTCGTGCTACTCAGAGGTGAAAGACTTTACTGAAGTGAAAGTACAAATACATTAATGTCCAAATACTCCACTACAAGTAAAAGTCCTACATTGTCCTACAAATATACTACAAGGATCAAAAGTACTCAATCTGAAGGAATATTGGTCTCCGTATGCGATGTATTTAATTTAAGTTTACTGCTGTCGGCGAACAAAGAAAAGTGCTAAAGTGCTAAAGTGCTAAAGTGCTAAAGTGCTAAAGTGCTAAAGTGCAAGTTATCCAGGACTCTCTTTTTTGACTTTGAGGGTGATTTGACCTCCTTGTACCTCCAACAGTTATTCCACTGGTTTGATCTTTAAAGATGCATTATGTTAATCAACGAGGTTGGGAGCGTTACTTCTAAAATGTAATCTGTTATAACTCCTAGTGAGCCGACAGCTGCTACGGTGTATTAATATACGTTCATTGTTTTTTAATCTGCAGCGCATTTCTTCTAATGGACATGTTTTTTACCTTTGGGACACCGTAGATACCTGTAACTAAATGTACACACCTGTAACTAAATGTACACACCTGTAACTAAATGTACACACCTGTAACTAAATGTACACAGTAACCTAATCTAGGTACTACAATATAAAAGTAATGTTTTATTACTATCTGTTACTTTTGGAGTACCTCCATATCAAATGCAAGTAGCCTAAATGAAAGCAGAAAATAAATAGCAGGCAGTTCATCTACATATAATATATTTATCTCTATTTTAAAATGCATTGTAACATTTTAATCCTCCTAGTAATCTCGTAATCAGATTTTTTTGATGTCTCTGTGGTCTTTTTTCGTACCCTAAATATCCCTTTATATAACTTATCATGTTTAAATGCATCTGAAGCTTTAAAATAAACGTAGTGGCCTAAAATATACATTATTTCCCTTTTAAATGTAGTGGAGTAGAAGTATAAAGTACCATTAAGTGGAAACACTTTGCTTTAAACTTGTATTTAAGTACAGTACTTGAGTAAATGCGCCTACAGGTGATATATTGTCTGTGATGTTCATGCCGTGTCTGTTTCTGCTGAGCAGCGTTACAGAGCGTGTGCGTGGAGACAGAGTGAGGAGGGGAGGCTGACCTTACTTCCCGAGTCCTTGGGTCCACACTCCCCTTTATCGTACCACCATTTGTTTTTCAGTTTGTCTAAGACTCCTGCTTCGCTCAGTTTCAATACGGCAAGGTTTACAGGCGTTCTTCAAATCACGGGGGTGGGGGTAGGGTGGGGAAAATAACATAAATAACATCATAGGACATGTTATTTTATGTTATTCAATCAGAAGAAGCCCAACAAAGAGCAGCTCAGTACTCTTTCAAAAGTGACGAAGCCGGGAGGGGCCCCACTCACGATACATGTCTCTTTGCTCTTTAATTGGGGGTTTAATTGGGAGATTTTAAAGGGGGCGGAGCTAACAGACATATAAACATGGGGCCCCCGGCTGCATCGCTTTTCTGTAACGGGCACATACTGCCGGGACCTTTTACTTACAAAAACAGAGGCTAGTACTGTCGACACAAAACTATTAGCGTGGGAAAACGTACTTTATGCTTAGAAGTACGTCTGAACCCCAAATATGATGCTACTTTATTATCCTCTGATAAATGACTCTGTAGACTCTTTTAAATCTAAAGACATTCCTGTTTGGGAAACTTGTGTGCTTTTATTCTATGTTTTTCTATTGTGTTTTTAGCACTTCTTAACACGTGCGTTGTGTGGTCATTTCATCTTGTATGATTCGTATGGATGCACTTTGTGACTGTCTGGGTAAAGCGCTTCATAAATACATTGTACTTACTTATTTGACTTACTTATGACATGTCTATTTTATACATGCTAATGATGGAAAGGACAAAAGGACCTGCCTTAAGTCTTTTGGGACAACATACATTATTTTTTGTTTTAAATGTGTGATTTTGAGAGATTTACAGTATTGCAGAACAAGTGTTTGTCCATCGCTCTGAAGTGAGAGCTGCTCCGCCTCGACATCTGCTCAAAGATTGGAGCTCAAACTTTTCAGAACCTCTAAGAATTCATCTGAGATACAGAGTCCCACAGTTTGAGTTAGACTGAAGTCAATCCTTAAGCTAAATACTGAGTTTAAAGCCAGATCAAATGTCATACAGTAAATAATATTGAACATATCGTCTTCAGCGATTGTAATCTTATCTTTAATGTCTGTTTCCTTATTTGTTGTCTTAATATTTGTCGTTTTCAATGTTGCTGTGACGCAAGAGGAATTTCAGACTTGATCCAACAATTAAGTATTATTGTATCGTATCGTATCGTATCGTATCGTATTGTATCGTATCGTATCGTATTGTATTGTATTGTATCGTATCGTATTGTATTGTATCGTATTGTATTGTATCGTAGTGTATTGTATCGTATCGTATTGTATAGTATAGTATTGTATTGTATCATATTGTATTGTATTGTATTGTATTGTATCGTATTGTATTGTATCGTATTGTATCGTATCGTATAGTATTGTATCATATTGTATTGTATTGTATTGTATTGTATCGTATTGTATTGTATCGTATTGTATTGTATCGTATCGTATAGTATTGTATCGTAGTGTATCGTATTGTATTGTATCATATCGTATTGTATTGTATTGTATCATATCGTATCGTAGTGTATTGTATCGTATCGTATTGTATAGTATAGTATTGTATTGTATCATATTGTATCGTAGTGTATTGTATCATATTGTATCGTATTGTATAGTATAGTATTGTATTGTATCATATTGTATCGTATCGTATTGTATTGTATCATATTGTATAGTATCGTAGTGTATCGTACTGTATCGTATTGTATTGTATTGTATCGTAGTGTATTGTATCATATTGTATCGTAGTGTATCGTATTGTATCATATTGTATCGTAGTGTATCGTATCGTATCGTAGTGTATCATATTGTATCATATTGTATCGTAGTGTATCGTAGTGTATCGTATTGTATCATATTGTATAGTATTGTATTGTATTGTATCGTATCATATTGTATCATATTGTATCGTAGTGTATCGTATTGTATCGTATTGTATCGTAGTGTATCATATTGTATCTTATCGTATTGTATCGTATCATATTTTATCGTATCCTATTGAATCGTATCGGAACATATTGTATTGTATTGTATCGTATTGTATCGTAGTGTATCGTATTGAATCGTATTGTATCGTATCGTATTTTATCGTATCCTATTGAATCGTATCGGAACATATTGTATTGTATTGTATCGTATTGTATTGTATCATATCGTATAGTATAGTATTGTATCGTAGTGTATCGTATTGTATCGTATTGAATCGTATTGTATCGTATCGTAGTGTATCTTATCGTATTGTATCGTAGTGTATCGTATTGTATCGTAGTGTATCATATTGTATTGTATTGTATCGTAGTGTATCGTATTGTATCATATTGTATCGTAGTGTATCGTAGTGTATCGTATTGTATCGTATTGTATCATATTGTATCATATTGTATCGTAGTGTATCGTATTGTATCGTATTGTATCGTAGTGTATCATATTGTATTGTATTGTATCGTAGTGTATAGTAGTGTATCGTATTGTATCGTATTGTATCGTAGTGTATAGTAGTGTATTGTATTGTATCGTAGTGTATCGTATTGTATCGTAGTGTATCATATTGTATCATATTGTATCATATTGTATCGTAGTGTATCATATTGTATCGTATCATATTGTATCATATTGTATCGTAGTGTATCGTATTGTATCATATTGTATCGTAGTGTATCGTATTGTATCGTAGTGTATCATATTGTATCGTATCATATTGTATCATATTGTATCGTAGTGTATCGT